CTAATAGAGTAGTTTTATTATCTCTATAAATCAAAAATGTTGCTGTTTTTGCAATGATTGTTCTACATTGATTTTTCTTGGAAAGCAATAGGTTCTTGGATGTGCATATTCTAGCTCAAGTATTTTAAACCAGGTCATTAATTACTGCTGCTAGTCCAGAAAAATTAATCTATTTATCTTTAATCCTAGACTAACCACTTTCTATATCAAGTAATATGGCACATGTATAATTCCACAAAGAACATAAAAATACAAAGAAAATTCAGAGGATCTCCAGACTTTACCAGTAGGTATCCCTTTAAGTTCTTAAGTGGTACGTACCAGAACAGCAAAAATAATGTCCATGTTCAACTACCTGTGAACAGCTCTGACAACTAATTAAAAAGGTTTGGTTCATTATAAAACTTCATTTAACTAGTCACATAAAACTCCTTTGCCACATCTGATTTCTTGTTGTGTTTTACCAAGCCCTTGCTTTCCCCTTCTCACCAGACTACTCAGACATCAATCAGACTAAGCCCTACTAATATTAATTACAGAATCTCATCCATATATGTTCGTTTTTTCTTATTTCCTTTGTCACATTAAAATCTTTTTTTTTTTTTTTGTTTACTAGTGTAATAGCTTTCCAACTGGGTGCCATTTTTTTCGATCAGTTCAACACATTAAAGTGATATTTTCAAGTGTATACTGTTTCTCACTTATAACTGGTAGCCATCAATTGCATATCCCTTTTGGGCACTTGAAATGTGGCCATTCTGAGTTAAGACATACTGTGAGGATGAGATACACATGAGATCTCAAAGTCTTTCTACAAAGCAAAAGAATGTGAAATGTCTCAATGTTTTAGGCTGATTACATGACAAACTGATATTCTGACATTTTCAATTAAATAGAATTTACTATTAAAATTGATTTTACCTGTTTCATTTTTCTTGTTTTAATATGGTTATTAGTAAATTAAAAATTACACATATAGCTCATATTACATTTCTACTGGATAGTGACATTATAAAGAATAAAATGACAGACCTGAGACCCACACCTTTCATATTACTAATACCAGTCTGAAATGGAGAAGAACAATGTTCCTTCCCTACTGTGTGTGGAGATAAAATTGATTTAAAACTGGGGACCTGACATGCCTGAATTTTATTCTTCATCAAGATAGGCACACTGGGATTTCTGATGTGTGGTTCAAGGTCCCAAACTTACCTGTTAAAAGCCCAGTGATCGAAGGTTTACTGATAGCTGGTGACTAGCCTAACCGATTTGGTAAGACTGGCTTGATCATTTAAAGGGGTCCTATTGAGAGTTTCCTGCTGAGTTCTTCAGAAGTCACATCTTGGCAGGTGGAACTGGAGGATACTTAGCACAATCCTTGTGTGCAAGTAAGTGCCTGTGGCCAGCTTGCACAGGGAATGTCTCAGAATGCTTGCTTACATTCTCTTTCTCCTACTGCTTATATTTTTGCCTTTACATAAAAGCTCTATTTGATATGCTCTATGGATCCTGGTGATTCCTTCCAATATATAAATCAGGGAAAATTTAATATAAGGAACTGAGCTATAGTTTTATTATTTATTGAGTGTTTTATACTTCAGGTGAATCCCAAAAGTAATTAACAGAATTCTTTGTGTGTCTCATCTTTAATATAATATACTGACTTTGGCTTCTGTGAACTTTTTTCTTCTGCAATTCTTTATTTTTTTTTTTTATTTTTTTTTTTTATTTTTGACAGGCAGAGTGGACAGTGAGAGAGAGAGACAGAGAGAAAGGTCTTCCTTTGCCGTTGGTTCACCTTCCAATGGCTGCCGCGGCCGGCGCGCTGCGGCCGGCGCACCGCGCTGATCCGATGGCAGGAGCCAGGAGCCAGGTGCTTTTCCTGGTCTCCCATGGGGTGCAGGGCCCAAGCACCTGGGCCATCCTCCACTGTACTCCCTGGCCACAGCAGAGGGCTGGCTTGGAAGAGGGACAACCGGGACAGAATCCGGCGCCCCGACCGGGACTAGAGCCCGGTGTTCTGGCGCCGCTAGGCGGAGGATTAGCCTAGTGAGCCGCGGCGCCGGCTCTGCAATTCTTAATAGAGTAAGTTTCCTAATTTTGGTTTATTCCTTGACAAGTGGCTTGCTTGCAATGATGAATAAGCCCCAGAAACTAAATTTAAAATATCACTTCCTATAGTGAATGCCTACTGAATTTGACTAGCTAGCATCTCCATTTCCTTAGGCAGTCACCTAACAATCAGAGAAAAATCTCAGGCTGTAACATCTAATTCCTACCCCATGGCAACAGAGGAGGTGTTATGGGACCCTAGCCCAGAAAAATCACATGGCCAAGATGACTGCTTCTAGGTAAGAATGTTGAGTCATGTCTAAGTCATCAAATTTATTCCTTCCAAAGTAATTAAAGCCTCTCTGCCATAGGAAAGAAAAGGCCAAAAGAGAAAGTTGAGCTGATCCTTAGACTTATTATATAGGAATGCAGAATCTATAGCCAATCAAAATAAAATTCTGCTTCATTTCCATATACAAGAGATCTTCATAAAGTTCATGAAAAAACATACTAAGAAAAGTGCCTGGATGGCTTTCAGATTTTTTTCTACCAAATAAACTTGTCTTTTAATTCTATATTGCCACAAACTTTTTGAAGTACTCTCCTATTCACAAAAAACTACACTTATAAATTATCCAGGTTTAATCCTGATATTTTACAAATAATAAAATTAAGTTTCAGAGAATAGAAATTATCTCCACAAGGCAGCTGATATGTAACAATGTTGGAATAGATTCCAGCTGTTTCACTGCCAGGCAAATGTTTCTTAATATTCATAAAAAGTACAGTAAAGAAGACTACCATGGTTTTTTGGCTTAGGTAGTCAAAAATCATCCATTGAGACAGGGAAGAAAAATGTTCAATTTTAATTCAACATTACCTGCAACTTCTTTGACCATGACATAGCTCTTACAACATAATTTCCAGATACTTTCACGTACAGATTGCCTATTCGAACTGGGGCCTAGAACAGTTCCTAATACATAGTACAATGAATAAATATCCTTTAAATGTATAAATACAATCCTTTTAATACTCACATGAGAAGACTGAATTTTCACTAGTATCTCCAGGTTTAGAAATGTTAATTGACTTTCCAGATGTCACAAAGCCAGAAGCTATGGAACTAAGTCCAAATCACAAATCGTCTAGCTTCAAAATACCATGTTATGCTGGTTAACATTGTGTCTTCTGAAAAGACTTTTCAATTTAACCCATTTTCAAAATACCCTAACACTAAAATGTCACAGTAAAGTACTAGTAGAAGTCTTAAAATAAAATCAGTTCCTGGCAATCATACTAATACTGTCAATGTTTTTCTAGACTAAGATACCTATACAACTATTTGGTAAATTTAAATAAGAAATAATGTACAAAAATTGGAAGTCTAGTATGATAGTACGTCAAAATGTTCATGAAAATCAGAATTAAAAATGTTTGTTTTGGTGCAAAAAAATTGAAATCCATGCATAGTTTTTCATAATGCTCATTAAAATGAACTTTCTAAAAAGACTCCTCATACACATGGATCTCAAAATAATTTTGCATCAAAAGAAACATTTTTCAATTTCATTTTCTACAGTTTCCTTGAGGCACTCTCATATGTGATTTCAAGAATTATTCTTCTTCTCACATAAAACAAGGGAAAAAAAGCTCAAATTCTATATTGTTAGAAGAAGTTTTAATTTTAGTATTTCTTTAATTTTTACACTGCAATAATTCAGAAGGCATCAATTTTTTAAAACGTTAGTAATCATACTTTAAGCAAGCAATGGATATTGGCAAAAGCTATAAAAATTCTTTTCAATAAAGTATCAATTATTGGAACATATTCTTTAATATGATTTCCTTAAGTTTGTCAGGAAGCAATCTCTTGGGGTGGAAGTAGAATGCAGATTACTAAAGAAATACAAATTCTAAAGCAAGAAAAAGACCTTCCTAATCTGTTTTTAATAAACACCCTAATAAAAATTTTAGGTTTCATTTATATGACTTGTGCAGAAAAGAGTTAGCATTCCAAGGCTGAAACTGCTATCCCTAGAAAGATCAGTGTGCATGGTTGTCCCTGACTGGTAATTGGGAACCCAAATACTTTCCATATGGCTTTCACTATTCCCTGAATGATAAGGGTTGCTCACTCCACCTGAATGGTTTGGCACAACAAAAACAGTTTATGCTGAACCCAATCAGCTTTCCTTCTGAAACCTAGAATTTTGGAACATGCATGAGTAGAGGGATGCTTACAGCTCACTGACCCCAGGAAAAACCCTGGAATCTTGCACTTGAGTGAGTTTCTCTGGTGAGACAATATTTCACACATGTAGTAATAAGTCATTGCAAAAAGGATTAAGCATGTCTTGTGTGACTCCACGGGGAGAGGACCACTGGAAGCTTGAGCCCAATTTCCTCCAGACTTCATCTCACATGCCTTTTCCCTTTACTGATTATGCCTTTATGTACTTTTCTTGTAACAAATCACAACACTGAGTACAACCATATGCTGAGTCCTATGAATCTTCCTAGTGATAATCGAAACTGTAGTACTGTGTTGCAACACTTTAGTGTATACAAGTACCTTCAATAGAGTTCCAAGTGTTTGAATCACAGTTATATAACCACTAGCAACTTGTAAGTGAGCGTTTTAAGGTGACAAATGCTTAAAGCCCTACATTACTCACAATACTATCTGCTTTTCTGAATGACTGAACAAAGGATATTCAGAAGATAACATTCATTTTCCCAAAGTTCAAATTTTCAATTTCAAATGTAAATATGCTAAGTTTGAGATTTTATTATCTGTTTGTTAGGTATGTTACTGTAAGATAGATGAAAGTAAACTCATCCTAATCTTCAAAATCAAAGATACAAATCCAAATGCAGTTTCAAACAAAACCAGTTACTGTCCACTATAAGTTAGATAATGTTTAAAATTTAAGTTTTCTTACCATGTGGAGTGATTGTCTGTACAGGCTTAGTAGGGGACCTCACATTCCATATAGTCAAGGTACCATCTGAATGACTGCAAATAAACTGTTTTCCTTCATGATGCCAAGCAACAGAGTGTATAGCCTATAAAATAAGGGTGAAGAATTTCTCAAATTTGTTTAAATGTCAAACTATTCATAAATTGTTTTATAATTAATTTTCACCTTAAACTTTTTTATATTTCCAAAGCTGAAGCACATTTATGTTAAGGTCCAAAATTTAGCCCTCCTGCAACATAAATGAGATTGTCTCATGGAGACTTTAATTTTTTAATTTATTTTACACTTTACTTAAAGAAAGTTATGTGTGTATCAAAGCACTACAGATAAAATCAGGACAACAAAATGTATTCTTACAGTTTATTAAAATAAACCACACCTAAACATAAGTTACTATGTATTATTATTATTAAAACCAGTATCCCATTGGAAAAACCAGCTGCATTGACAAATTAAAATAAATTTTTAAAATTAACTAAAATCTCAAGAAGCAAAATGTAGATTTGGAATTAAGTTCAATAAATTACCTCAGGTAAACTTTGAAAACATGTTCCCCAATTCTCACAGTAATTATTGAAACACTCTCTTAAAATTATTTATTTTTTATTTATTTGAAAGTAAGTGTTACAGAGAGGGGGAGGGGGAGGGAGAGGGAGGGAGAGAGACAGAGACAGAGACAGAGACAGAGACAGAGATATTGAAATCTTCCATCTGCAGGTTCATTCCCCAAATGGCTGCAATGGCAGAGCCCAGGCCAGGCTGAAGCCAGGAGCTTCTTCCAGGTCTCCCATGTGGGTGGCAGAGGCCCAAACACTTGGCCCACCTTTTGCTGTGTTCCTAGGCACATTAGCAAGTGGCTAGACTGGAAGTGGAGTTAAGACAGGGAATGGGGTATTTTCCCACATGGACCTCTACCTCAGGTTGTGGTCCTGCTCTACTTCTTCTCAAAGTTCTGGTACCAGGCACCATAACTCTCACACACTTTACGCCTCAGGTAACAGTGGGCATGAGTGACAACCCCACCCTCTACTTCCCTTTCACAGCCTTACGCCTCAGGCTCCAATGGGTGTGGGTAATGGCTCCTACCCTCTTTCCCTCTTCTTTTTTTTTTTTAATAAGGATTTTTTTTTTTTTTTGACAAGCAGAGTTAGACAGTGAGAGAGAGAGAGAGAGAGAGAGAGAAAAAGGTCTTCCTTCCGTTGGTTCACCCCACAAATGGCAGCTACGGACGGCACACTGCGCCGATCCAAAGCCAAGAGCCAGGTGCTTCTTCCTGGTCTCCCATGCGGGTGCAGGGCCCAAGCACTTGGGCCATCCTCCATTGCCTTCCCGGGCCACAGCAGAGAGCTGGACTGGAAGAGGAGCAACCGGGACAGAATCCAGCGCCCCAACCGGGACTAGAACCCAGGGTACCAATGCCGCAGGTGGAGGATTAGCCTAGTAAGCCGGGGCGCCGGCCCCCCTCTGCTCCCTTACTCTCTTGGTTGGACCGCTGTAATCTCAGGGATGCCTGCTGTCTGCCAGACCAACCTATTAGATCACTATGGGAGTTTCCTTATCCCTCGTGGCATCCGACTCTCTCGGTTGTCTCCTAAATAATATCCTAAATAATCTTGTTCCTCTCAAATTGGTCCCAGATCTCAAACGCCATCACCTCATCTTTCTTTGTAATCAGGCGCAGCCCATGTATGACCTCAATAACCAGTCGAAAAGGCTGCTTAACAGCACATTTGATCCCGAAATTATTCAGGATCTCTACCACTTTTGTGAGTGTTCGGGAAAGTGGAAGGAGATTCTCCACGTTCAAGCTTTCTCCTATCTCCAGCCTAAACCTTCTCTCTGTATCTCATGTTCCCTGGCTCAGGTCCTCTTCACCGCTATGGCTCCTACTACAGATCCAGCACCAGAGCCAAAGCCCCTTTGTTCCACGTTCAGTTCTGCAGGTAAGACTCCACCATACTGCCCCACCACAGGCACCAGCTCAGTCCCTTCCTGCTCAGGCCCCAGCACAGTTACCTCCATCTCAACAACCTCAAAGCCCACCCTCCACTCTGGCAACATCTGTTCCGGCTATCACTGTCTCATGGATACCTCCCACTCCTGCCCAAGAATTCCAGGAGGCAGCATCTGTTTCCGCTCGCCCTGTCTCCTGGTCACCCGTATGTTAGAACTTGCCCTTATCCATTTCTACTCCCCTGCCTTATCTCTAACCCAGTCCTAGTGCCAACTTTCACCCTCCTCCATTATACTGAGTGAGCATACTGTTCCCACCCTGACATCACCCCCTCAAGCCCTCGACTCCCTCCTTCTCCTGTCTCCAGTCCCTTAGCCACTACTCTTGTGAGGCAGCTAGGGAGCCTGCCTCCATGTTGTCCCTTTGAGAGGTCGTAGGAGAGGAGGGCATAGTTAGGGTCCATGTTCCTTTCTCATTTGCTGATCTCTCACCAATTGAACAAAAACTGGGTTCCTTCACCTCTAAGCCAATGTCGTACATTAAGGAGTTTCAATATTTAACCCAGTCCTATGATCTGACTTTTCATGATGTCTTTAGGATCCTCTCCAACACCCTCCTTCCAGAAGAATGAAGGCGAGTTTGGGAACAGGCTCATCTCCATGCTGATGAGCCTCATCACACCAACCCTGCCCATCCCATAGGAGCAAATGCAGTCCCAGGACAGGACCCCAACTGGAATGACAACTCTCCCAGTGGCATAACAGCCAAATATCGTTTCATTCCCTGTTTATTGGCTGGCCTCAAAAAAATCTACCAGAAAGGCTGTAAATTATGATAAACTGAGGAAAGTTATTCAAAATAAAAAGAAAAACCCTTCCACCTTTCAACAGCATCTGACGCAGACCCTTCTCCAGTACAGCAACCTAGCCCCTGAATCTCCTGATGCTCGGGGCCTCATCATGAGCCATTTCTTTGCTCAGGGTTTCCCTGATATCAGGGCCAAGTTAAAGCAGCTGGAGAAGGGCCCATTAACCCCACAGGCAGAAATTCTAGAGGTGGCCTTTAAAGTATACAATGGGAGGGATGAGGGAGCCCAAAAGACAAAATTCCAAGTGCTGGCCCAGGCTTTTCAACAACCCACTGCCTCCAGTGACCTAGCAAACCACTGCAGTCCCATTAGCCACAGGAGTCCTCCAGGTCCATGCTTTAGTGTGGCCAAATGGGCCATTGGGCCAAACTATGCCCCAATCCTCAAGACCTGTCGTGTCCTTGTCCTAGATGTCACCAAAAGGCCCATTGGGCAGTGGACTGTCCTCTTGTCCGTTGAGTCAGTAGGTCATCTGCCCCACACACGCCCCGGGGTTGACCTTCAAGAGCTGGCTACTGAGGACTCAGGGAGCCCGGACTCCTGCCACTCAGTTACAGCCATCACTTCACGGGAGCCCAGGGTAACTGTGACAGTAGCAGGTAGGTCAATTTCTTTTCTTATTGACACAGGAGCAACCTTCTCAGTCCTTACTTAGTATCGGGGGCCCATCTCTGCTGCCTCAACCTCCATAGCTGCGGCAGAGGGAAACTTTACAGACCCCTACAGACTTCCGACATGCTCTGCATAATTAATATGATGCCCTTGTCCAACTCTTTTCTCGTTATACCTCAATGTCCTATTCCCTTCCTGGGAAGAGACACTCTCACAGTTTGGTGCTCAGGTGGTTTTTCACCCTCAGCCACTGGCCCTGTCCCCTAACTCGCCTTTGCCTCCCTTCCTGTTACTGCTCTCTCCCCAAGATGATTCCGGTCCAGCCACCCTACCTATCTCAGGCCCTCTATCCACTGTCAACCCAGCGAGTATAGGATACCAGTCACCCTAAGGTAGTAGCCCACCATTTTCCCATCCAGATCAAATTACAAGACTCCTCCACATTTCCTTCCCACCCCCAATATCTCTTACCCCTTTCCAGCCTTTGAGTCTAAAGCATGTAATTTCCAAACTCCTCCACCAGGGCTTGCCACACAAGACTGACTCCCCCTATAACACTCCAATACTAGTGGTTAAAAAGCCTAATTGGTCCTTCCATCTGGTACAAGACCTCTACCTTACTAACGCAGTAGTAGTACCCATACACCCGATGGCCACCAATCCATATACCCTCTTCTTTATTACTGTTTGTCAAATAAGCTCTTCCTCTGTCACCAGAAGATACCAAATATCTTCATCAGCTCACCTCTTTTTGTTCTATATTTCAAAAAACAAACCCTAGCTCTAATGCCCATCCTTTACCCTTCCCCTCCCATCAAATCAGAGGACACCTGTCAGCCTCTGACTGTCAGACAGACTTCACCCATATCCCCAGAGTATGGTGCTTTCAGTATCTTTTGGTGCTTGCTGGTAGATACCTTGCTGCGAACAAATGGGCACTGAAAGTTTCCAACATCCTACCTCAGGAGATTACTCCCCAATTTGGGGTCCCAGCCTCTCTCCAATCAGACAATGGTGCTGAATTTACATCACAAGTAACTCAACTACTGAGTAAGGAGCTCAACATCCCCTGGCATTTCCACATTCCTTATCACCCCCAGCCCTCAGGAAAGGTGGAAAGGACAAATCTTACACTGGAAAACATTCTAACTCTCCCTGAGCTTCACCTAGACTGGACTAAAGTATTTCCAATGGCCTTGCCCCATATGAGGGCTCTTTCAAAATTTCACCTTTTGCACTGACATATGGATTTCCCTTGGTTCTTCCAACCATACACTCTCAATCTCCACTCTTGCTTCCCCATCTACCCTCACCTCTCCTCAGATATTTCCAAACAGAGTTATGGAAATACATAGACACCTACTGCCCAGCTCTAGGTTTACCCACCTGTTTCCCTCTTAGGACAGTGGAAGGTGAGGTTTTCCTGTCCTCTTCAAACCCTACTTTGCCCCCTATTCCCACTAAACTATAGGCTAAATGGAACAGACCTTACCGTGTTATTCTCTTTTTATTATTTTTTTTATTTTTTGACAGGCAGAGTGGACAGTGAGAGAGAGAGAGAGACAGAGAGAAAGGTCTTCCTTTGCCGTTGGTTCACCCTCCAATGGCCGCCGCACCACGCTGATCCAATGGCAGGAGCCAGGTACTTCTCCTGGTCTCCCATGGGGTGCAGGGCCCAAGCACCTGGGCCATCCTCCACTGCACCCCCTGGCCACAGCAGAGAGCTGGCCTGGAAAAGGGGCAACTGGGACAGAATCCGGTGCCCCGACCGGGACTAGAACCCGGTGTGCCGGCGCCGCAAGGCGGAGGATTAGCCTAGTGAGCCGCGGCGCCGGCCTTTACCGTGTTATTCTCACTACTCCTACAGCAGCAAAGTTACAGGGAATACCCCATTGGGTCCACTTCACCCACCTTAAGTGTTTCCCCCTACTTCACCCACCTTAAGCATTCTCCCCCTCATTATACAGTTACTCCCACAGGGCCACTCACAGCCAAGTTTACCTGGACTCAAGTTCCACTACCAATGGTGCCTGAAAACTCAGAACCCATCTCCGAGAACTGGTGACCACCCAACCACCACCATTTCTAACACCAGTTAAGTGCTGAGCCTCTCTTATATCGTTATCGCCTCTTTCTACAACTTCTGTAGGAGGAATATGAAACACACTCCTTGCCCTTCCACCCCTCCTAGCTCCTTTCAGATGTTGAAGATTTACATCTCCAGGGAATCATCTCAGACTTCACTCCCTTTGAAATCTACACTTTTCCATATCTCCTCTTACTGTCTCACTCCTTCTTCCATACACCATGATGAATTTCCTTATAATCTCATCTCTTCTGCTCTTTTATGTCTGTTCTGCATCTGCACTAGCCCCAGGAACAAGTTACACATGGCAACTTCAGATTTCTACCACTTCCACTCCTGCTAAATTACTTAACGCTACCTTCCGCCCCATCACGAGCTGTGCAGGACCTACCATTCTGTACTTAGATTTTGCTCAGGCCTACTCACATAATTGTTTTGACTGCGCTACGTATATTTCTTCTCAATTTGAAACATATCCCTATTATCTCTTCCTAATTAAAGACAACATAGGATCATGTAACAATGCTTACTGAAAAGGTTGCTCATCATGGTCCTGTAAGCACTACTATACTGATCATAGATATGGCCTCCCAGGAAAATAATTCTCTAATGTCTTGTCCCAAGATAAAAACACTCTAGCTTGGATGCCACAGGCAGACAAAGACCATCAAGTCCAATTCCTTTTAGCCTTCACTATAACTGACCCCTATGTTCAGGTCTTCCAAAATGGAGTCAAGGGATCCTTCACTTTATATATGGATTCTAACATGCAAGATCCCCATGGAATCATAAAAATTATCAGGGCCTGTACTCAGGACTTAAACTAAGAGGATTATTTAAATATAAAATGTAAAACTAAGAAAGTCAATTTTAAAAATCTGTTTTCTTTTACAAAGAAAAGAGATCAGCAAGCCAAAACCTCCAGAAAAATGAGACTCTTTATTCAAAATATGTTTGTATTTTTTTTCTTTTTCCAAAATTTTGGCTAGTGAACAAAAAAAGTAAATAATAAGGATGCCCTTTTGCTCACGCTGACAAAGAAAATATGCAAACATTTTCAAAGTATTTAACATACTGCTGTAATAACTCAATGTAGTCTGCTATTTAAGTAATTAAATACATCAATATGAAGATATAACACATATTATCTTAAAAGCACACAAACAACCTAAATCATTTATATATTTCCAAGGCATAGCTCTGTTCATTAATAACTGGAAACTAGGAATACTCCTAGTACCCAAATTATGGATGCCAGATTCCATTTCACACTGAAATAATTTATAGTCCCATGGAAATCTACCTCATTATAATATTGGTTCAGAAATATATGGGGTTCTCAGGTGTATTTTGTTATACCAGAAAGTAATGAAGCTACACAAGACAATTATGGTTATCATCAAGGACATGGGTAAGAAGTAGAGGAAGTTCATCAATTAAAGGCAATTGGAAAATGAATAAGGGTACTACTTTAATGGATTGAAGCACATCAAGTCTGTCCAAATTATTAAGCACATAGTGAAAATAAAAATAAAAATTGGTCACCACAGAATCTACTGGAGAAGAATATCTATAGTGAATACTAACTAGAGAAAGAATGATGCATTTATCCTGCCTTTGCTCTCTGAACTGTATGACTGTAAACCAAACAGCAGGTAAGAGGAAGTTTCTGTTAAAATAAAGTATCTTAGCTAATAAACCAAGAAGCAATGACAGAATCACAATACCCCTACTGCAACTATTTTGTACTAATACATCTACTGAGCACCACTGGACTACCAACATCAAAAAGAGACACAGCAATTCCACCTGTGTCCACCTGTGAAACTGCACCACTATCACCTATGAATTGGCCCTGCTAAATATGAAAAATGAACTGAATTTTATCAAGCTTCAGTAAATCATCAAATTTATAAGAAATACAGCCTTCGCCCTGACTGTTGATGAACAACTTAACATGTTATCCCTCTTAGTATTTTTTTTGTTTGTTTGTTCTACTTAATACTTTTGGTTGAATACTGTAATCAATACACAATTATTCTTAAGTGCTGAAACTTAACTGAAAAGTGATCGCTGTTAAATATAAGAGTGGGAATAAGAGAAGGAAGAGATGTGCAATTCGGGACATGCTCAAGCTGACTTACCTCAAACGGTAGAGTTAGAAACATACCAGGGGATTCCAATTCAATCCCATCAAGGTGGCATGTACCAATGCCATCTCACTAGTCCCAGTGATCAATTTCTGTTCATAATTGATCACAATGATAGGACTAAGAACCAAAGGGAGCACATAAACAAGACTAGTGTCTGCAAATACTAGCTGACAGAATAAAAAAGGGAGAGAACGATCCAACATGGGAAGTGAGATACACAGCAGACCCATAGAATGGCAGATGTCCTAAACAGCACTCTGGCCTCAGAATCAGCCTTTAAGGCATGCGGATCCTGCTGAAAAGCCCATGAGAGTATTTCAGGCATGGAAAGCCAAGACACTCTGGGAGAAAAACAAACAAACAAACAAACAAAAAAACCTAAATGAAAGATCTCCGCGAGTGAGATCCCAGTGGAAAGAACGGGTCATCAAAGAAGGAGGTACCTTTCTCTGAAGGGAGGAGAGAACTTCCACTTTGACCATGGCCTTGTCTAAATATGATCAGAGTTGGTGAACTCAGGGGGCTTCCATAGCCTTGGCAGCTCATGACAAGAGCCTAGGGTGATTACTGATGCCATAAACAAGAGTGTCAATTTGTTAAGTCAACAACAGGAGTCACTGTGCACTTACTCCTCATGTAGGATCTCTGTCCTTAGTGTGCTGTACATTGAGATTTAATGCTATAACTAGTACTCAAACATTATTTTTCACTTTACGTTTCTGTGTGGGAGCAAACTGTTGAAATCTTTACTTAATGTATGCTAAACTGATCTTCTGTATATAAAGGGAATCGAAAATGAATTTTGATGTGAATGGAAGGGGAGAGGCAGTGGGAAAGGGAAGGGTTGCGGGTGGGAGGGACATTATGGGGAGGAAGCCATTGTAATCCATATTCTGTACTTTGGAAATTTATATTTATTAAATAAAAGTTAAAAAATATTAAAATTAGTATTTAACAATTAGTTAAAAAGATAATAGTACTTGAAGTAATTTGTTGTTTATGTTTCAAATAAATGACAATTTTGAGCATAAAAAAATTTATAAGAAATATCTTTAAATAGATGTTATAGACAACTGGAGGCCCTGCATCATGGCATGGCAAGTGAGGTCCCAGGCTGCAACTCTGGCATCCTATGTTAGTGCTAGTTTGTGTCCCGGCTGCTCCATTTCTGATCCAGCTCTCTGCTAATGGTCCAGAAACAGCAGCAGCAGATGGCTCCAGCGTTTGAGCCCTGCCACTCAGGTGGGGCCTGGATGAAGCTCCTGGCTTCTGGCTTTGGCTTTGCCCAGGCTTGGCAATTGTGGCCATCTCAGGAATGAATCAGCAGAAAGAAGATCTATATCTCTCTTTCTCTCTCTGTAACTCTTTCAAATAAATAAATAGGACAATGGATATGGAGCCAGAAAAATTTACTATCTAGAAGCTTTTCCCTGCAACACATAAATGACAAAAAAAGGAAGAATAAGGTAAGGAAGGGAAGTCAGGAACGAGAAGGGAGGCATACAATTTAAAATACTTCATAAAGCAATCACAATCAATCTTTAGTTTGGATCTTAAAGCAAGCACACTATAAAGTCTACAGTATACTATCAACTAACAAAGAAAAAAAAATAGAATGTATTTGCTTGTAAATGCAGAGAATCTCTCCAGAACACCTTCTAAGCAACTGGTAACATGGTACCTATCAGGGATCTAGATGTCCACATGTAAGGAGCAGGAAGGCGATTTATATATCTTTTTAACTATGTGAATATGTTTCTTCTTCATTTCACTATTATAAAAGTAAGTCATTGTGTGTGTGTTACTGCAATTTCAAAGGTTACCTAAACTAAAATCACCAATTATATTTTTATAGAAGTTGCTGACTCCGCAAAATTAAAAAAGCTTTAATTAGGAAAAATATTATTACCTCATCATATGTGTATCTGTAGTCAGCTTTCTTGGATTTGAGGTCCCATAAGACTACTGTTCCAGATTCAAAGCCAATTAAAAGCTGTAATAGAAGAAAAAAACACATTATCTAAGAATTGTATCAGTTATATAAAAATATTTATTTGCTGAAAATAAAGTTTATCATTTACAAGCTGTAAGTATAAAATTATTAAACACCCGTAATTGTTAATTATGAATCACAAAGATGACAAATAAAAACATTACACTGCATATTTACATGTCTTTGATGATTAAAACTTTTTTTCAAAAAAAGTACCATTTTTAAGTCTAAATATAGATCTTCACTGATACAAAATATTTAGTAAATTACAAAAAATTAATAGTTAAGAGTTTATAATCTCTCCAAATTCTTCATGTTATGAAAAGCAATCTTATCCACTACATCTATACATTGATTAATTCCAAATCAAATCAGCCTAGATTGCTCTCACATGCTCCAGCACATAATCTCAATGGCCATCTCTACTAATCTATATTAGAACCTCAAAGTAAGTATGTCCGTAAAGTAAATTAATTATATTCTCTATCCTTCTTCTCTGGCATTCCCTATTGCAGTAACTCAACATTCCTATCACAATGATCAGGTGCTCAAGCCAGAAACCTAGGGATCATCCTTAACTCTTGTTTTTTCCCCCAACAGGTAAAATCACCAAGTAAATTTAAAATTAATTTCTGTAGCTGGCGCTGCGGCTCACTAGGCTAATCCTCCGCCTTGCAGCGCCGGCACACCGGGTTCTAGTCCCGGTCGGGGCGCTGGATTCTGTCCCGGTTGCCCCTCTTCCAGACCAGCTCTCTGCTGTGGCCAGGGAGTGCAGTGGAGGATGGCCCGAGTACTTGGGCCCTGCACCCCATGGGAGACCAGGATAAGTACCTGGCTCCTGCCATTGGATCAGTGCGGTGCGCCGGCCACAGCGCGCTGGCTGCGGCGGCCATTGGAGGGTGAACCAACGGCAAAGGAAGACTTTTCTCTCTGTCTCTCTCTCTCACTGTCCACTCTGCCTGTCAAAAAAAATAATATGAATTAAAAAAAATTTCTGTTATCTCTTTAATTTACTTCCTACCATCCCCAGTGCCACTCTTCTGGTTCAAGATACAAAGTTCTTTCTAGTCTCCCTGACTCCTATGTCAATCCATTCCATACTGTAGGCTAGAATAATATCTCTAAATGCAAACCTGGTGGTATAATGTATATTTCTGTTTAAAAGATTTTAATGCGAAATTATTATTTTAAGGATAAAATCCAAAAGCAAGTATGATCTGTAAGATCTGTGTAATCTGATTTCTGCTTTATTGCTCCATAAAAGTGATGAATAGGTGGATTATGCTCATATATAATGTAGAGACAAGACAATGTTTGGGTATATTCAGTAATTTTAATACAACAGCAACTTAGTGGATTTCACAGGACAGAGAAAGTTGGATGGTTAGTTGCTGAAGCTAACAAAATAGGTTTTCAGAGGTAGCAGTCAATTTTCCTAACCCTAATTTTTCTTTCTTAAGCAATCTGAGACATATTCCTTCTAGGAAAAACTGGCATATTCTTCCTTTTCCTTTCTCTAGTCCTTTCAAATACTTTTCTTTCTTTTTAAAGATTTATTGATTTTATTTGAAAGATGGAGTTACAGAGAGAGGGAGACACACCCACACAGAAAGAGGGAAAGAGAAGAAGGGAGAGAGAGAGAGAGAGCACTTCCATCCACTTGTAAAGTCCAAATGGCCACAATGACCAGGGCCAGGTCAGGATGAAGCCAGGAGCCTGGAGCTTCATCCGGGTCTCCCATAGGGGTGGCAGCGATTCCAGTACTTGAACCATATTACACTGTTTTCCCAGGCACATTAGCAGAAAGCTGGATCTGCAGTTGGGCAGCCAGGACTTGAATGGATGCCCATAAGGGAAAATGTTGTCACAAACATTAACTTAACCTGCTATACCACAACACTGGCTCCATTCTTTACAAATATTTTACATTTATTGTATGGCATTTTTCTGTGGGGAAATAATATATAAGGAAAAAGAAGGAACAGAATAAAATTTAAGACTCAATGTAAAGGAGAAACAGCACTCAATTGCTTAGTACATAGGAACCTGAATTCTAGTCCTAAAACCACAACTTAACAGTCATGTAGCTTTTAGAAAAAAATCTTACCAATGTATTTGTTAATAAATCAAGATAGTTAGAGTAAACTTAAATCTCTCCAATTGGCTATACCATCCTAAGAAAGTTAAAAATACGTGCCAACAAATTAGACTTTAATGTCCATAATCTCCTTGGCCTTCCAATTCCTACAGAATTTTAATGAAATATTAGGGAAGAGAAAGCTAAATATATAGCTTTTTAAAATATATAGTGTTTAATTAAACTGGAAAAATTCCTTTAATGTTTATCCTTACTAAAATATTTTATAACTCAGAGATGTTAATTAGATTATGTACTATCAACAGACTTTTCACAAAAAAAAGTGTAGTGGGTACACTGAATAGAAGCAGAGACTCTACATCAACAGCTGATCTCTATCTAGTGAGGACATGTAGCATAAACGTTGAAATCAAAGAAATCAATGTTTAAATATCAGCTATACAAGCATATAGCTCTGCACTTCTGGAACACAATGTCACTGTTTCATTATCTTTACAATGGGGATATTTGCAAGTTACAGCTTCTTGGGAGGATCAAATGAAATAGTGGTCAGCATAGGACCTTACAGAAAGTATTCAATAAATGCTACTTTTTTACTATTGTGACTGACAGCACATTAATGCCTACCCTTCCTTATCAAGACCTTCAACTAATGAGGTGGATCCACCCATGGGATTAGCTTTGAACGAATCTACCCTATCACTGTATATCTTCTTTTAGTCAGAGAGATCATTCGAAATACAGAAAAGTCATTGATGTGATTAAAGTAGGACTTTTTTCCACAAGAAATCAAAGATTAGATAATGCAACCTGTTCTACCAACTAATATTTAAAAAATGTTTGAATGAGAGTAACTCTTGGAAGGAAGAATAATATAATGCCAGATTAAAAAAAAAAAATGACAGACACTGATATATAATATATTCATTCCATAAAGAAGGATATATTGAGTACCCTATGACTATTTCCACGATATGCTGGATGTACTGGAGGCTGCAAACCTGCATATAAATATTACCTCTGCACTCAACAATTTCCCACACTTGGGTCAGCCAACATAATACGTTTCTAATAAAAGGCAACAGATGATTAACACCATAAAACTCCCATAACTAAAGAACCAGTGAATGTGAAAGTATGAGAAAGATTTTTCTGTCAAGATGATCAGGAAAAATATCATAAAGGATATATACTTAATCTGGACCTTAGAATGTGGGTAGGAATTCAGCAGAACCATTATGAGACACAATAGAATGGAGATATGGCAAAAGAAGGACTGAAGTGACATAATATTGATCAAGGTAGAAGAGAAATTTTCAATTCTGTCATCATGTCTCCCACCCAAAAGCTAGGCTTTCACCCAAGTATTCTGCCTAAAACAAAGTAAACTGGACCTACGCTACTATATAGTTGTTTTATATAAAGTTCCCTTTAAAAAGTATCCAACTCTATAATTATGAGCTAATTCCAGATAGTCCAGTTATCCTTTTGTCTTCCCTGTGTCAAACTAAGACAAATGTTAAATAATTCATAGGATTGATCTCTGAGTAAACGAAAAACTTGGGTAAACTCCTTCAATAAATCCAGAAGTTACATTTCACTAATTCCTCCAACCCTTCTTTTTTTTAATCTGATGGAAGAGAGAAAAGACAGAAAGTCTTCCCATCTGCTGGTTCAGTCCCCAAACATCACAAAGGCCAGTGCTTGGCCAAGGCCAAAGCTGGGATCTGGGAACTCAATCCACATCTCCACATGGGTGGCAAGAGCTCACTTGAGCCATCACTGCTGCCTCTCAGGGTCTGCAGCAGTGGCAAGCTAGAATCAGGATCTGGGAATGAAACTCAGGTATTCCAGTGTGAGAGGAGAGTATCATAACTGCTAGACTGAATACCTTCTCTCCATTTAACTGGATGATTGAATGATTTGAAACATACACACACACACACACACACACACACACACACAGATGTCTTTCATCCACTGGTGCACTTGCCAAGTGCCCACAACAGCTGAGGCTGGGGCTGGAGCTGGGACTGAGGCTGGCTGAAGCCCAAGAGCCTGGAACTCAATCCACATCTCCTAAGTAAGTGGCAAGGATTCAAGAACTTGGGTCATCATCTGCTGTAATGAGCACTTCCCAGGGTTCTGGAATGAGAAGTAGAGCCAGGATTCAAACCCAGGCACTCTGACATGGAATGCAGGTATCCAAACAGGTATCCAAAGTGGCTTCCTAACCACTGTGCCAAACCATCACCCTATTCACTGATATAAATACACTTTCTCGTACTTATTTAGGTTAACACCATAAAGTCATCTAGGAAGAAAAATATAATTATTAAATAAAATGACCTGAAATATTAGTCTGAAATAGGAAAGAAAGATTCAAATTAAAGGAATTTTCAGGAGTCAGAATTGTAGCAGAGTGGATTAAGCCACCACCATGCCATATTGGAGTGCTGGTTCCAATCCCAGCTGTTCCACTTTCCATCCAGTTTCCTGCTAATGTGCCTGGGAAAGCAGCAGCAGATGGCGGAGGTACTTGGGTCCACTATGGAGACATGGATGGAGTTCCTGGCTCCTGGCTTCAGTCTGGCCCAGTCCATTTGGGGAATTGAGCCAGTAGATGAAGATCTGTCTTCCCCCTACCCCAACCCTGCCTCTTTTTCACTCTGATTTTCAAACAAATAAATTTGGAGGGCAGAAGTGGGAGAAAACTATAAGGAACTTTAATTCTTTGTAAATTAACAACCATTATTCACTGACCGCATGAAGCTGTGTTAAAATATTAAACATTTCAAATTACCCCTACATTATTAATAGAAGCTATTTATGAAGTAAATTGGGGAAACAACTCTAACATAGGGCAACATGAGATAATTTTTATTAAATTTTACATATGCTTTAGGTACCTTTTGTCATTTAAAATTATGATTCTTACAGCCTGTGCTGTGGAGAGAAGGGTTAAGCTGCCACCTAAGATGATGGCATCCTATATGAGGCCGGGTTCAAGTCTTAGCTGCTGCCTTTTTGATCCAGCTCTCTGCTGATAAGCCTGAGAAAGCAGTGGAAGATGGCCCAAGGGCTTGAGCCTCTGCCACCCACCTGGAAGACCCAGATGGAGTTCCAGACTCCTGGCTTTAGCCTGGTCCAATTCCGACCACTGTGGTCATCTGGGGAGAAAACAATGGTTGGAAGATCTTTCTCTCTCTGTCTCTCCCACTAACTCTGCCTTTCAAATAAGTAAAATTTTGAAAAAAATTATGATTCCAACTCTCCCACCTGTTCTTCATAATGAATAATATGGCATTAAGCACATATGACACTCAACCTTTATTAAAAAGTTTATATATTTAAAAATACAAAATATCACAAATTAAAATAATATACTTTTTTTGGAAAAAAATTCTACCTTTCCTTCATCCATTGGATTATCACTTATATGGACAACAGGTCCTGGGTGAGATTTAGAGGACCTAGAAACATAAAAGATTATTAAATAAATAAATGTTAAATAAAGATATATTTACATAAAAGGAAAAAGTATCTCAGTAAGTGGTCAATAACAGAGGAGTATTAATATGGGCAAAAGTAGGAAACTGGAAGATGGTTACATGACGGCCATGTGGATACAAATGAACATACAATTAAGTACACTTTATGTATAGAAAAGAATTTCAATTTAGTCGTTTCAGCACAGAAAATTTGTTCTCAACATAGTATTTTGAAAGTTATTTAAAAAAAAAATAGTGCAACATCTTAAACATCATTACCTTATTTTGCTCAATTCTAGAGTCAAATTACCACAATTCTTTGAGTTTCGTTGTTCATATCAGACATTGGGAAAATTCCATATTTTAAAAAATACTTTTCTCCCTTGTCTCTAATGTTGTGGAACAGTGTTTTTTCTTCTTACTATTTGTTTAATTCTTTACTTAGTGAAGAATTAATCATATGATTATAAAATAAACTGAAAGTATGTCACTGTAAAAAAAATCCATTCTCAACATGAATAAATGATACAAATTTGAGGTGATGGATATGTTAATTACCCTTATTTGATCATCACACATTGTACCTCACAAATGAGCAAAATTATCTTTGCCAAATAAACACAATAATTTAAAAATCAGAAAAATAATGCCACCTATTCCTTCTCAAGAGAAAAAGAACTGATACAGATATGACTATGCCTAAACAGATGCCCATATAGTAGGAAAAATATATCCTTATTCAAAAACTCTGAAGCCTGGGCAATCACTCCACTTTATGAAAGTCATCTGTGAAACAGACAACTGTACCAGACCTACCCACTAGATGTCGTGATCCATTCAAAGAACAGATTGGAAACCCACACTACCAAGGGACTGATATATGATAATGACATCCTTGCCACAGGAAGGAAAACCAGGCTTCCCACAGTTACATTTACATTGAAACATTACAAAAGAGATATGTCACAAAATTATCTCATGTTAAAAAGACATAAATCCTGTGTAATGGAAGACTATACTATTTGGCCAAAAACAAAAAGAAACACTGAAAAAGGTTTTTGCCAATATCGTTAAACTTTGATTTTCATTTCTGAATGATAACATAAGAGAAACTTTGTACAAAGAAACAACATATAAAACATTTTAAGACAGTGAAAAGTTAGCACTAAAGATCCCTCAACCATACCTCAACACAGTTTTTGTTGTTAATACCGGTAAATTAAAATAATGGTCAGTGCAACAAAATTAAAGATTAACCTTAAAAACTAATTCTGCAATATGTTAACTTTGATAAACATTTACATTATATTGGTTGATTATTAAAACACACCAAAATAGTTTAAATTAATATTTCCTAAATATTAGTGGCAACCCATTCATGGATCATGACCAGCATTGCAAAGACAAATCACAAAAGAACAAAAGCAAACAAAGAATGCTTTTTCACCTATGCTATATTTCAAACACATGTAAATATATGCACAACATTTGTGTATATATTTATGTACATATGTATAAATCACTTAAATTTACACACTGTCATACCAATAGGGTGATATTTACAAAGATATTAAATCTGCATTTAATATCAAGAACATCTGACACATTTAATTCCACAGAATTACAGACTGGCTATTATCTGATGGTATTATCATATTTGATATTGGTATTTTCAGATATGGAGTACTTGCTGGAACTCACAGTTCAATGGCTTTATTCCACATAATGACGTAGCCTGAGAGTGTGAAGGACTCCACATTGACAATGTGTATATTACCTCTTTCAGTGCCCACATAGAGCCACTTACTCTGGAAAGGCAGATGGCAAAATGTAACCCTGTAAGAGAAAATAGATGCAGAAAATTAAATTATAAAATGGCTGGTCAATTTTACTGACTGTATTAGAGGGTTAATCATGAAACATGTAGCTCATGAAAAGCAAAAATGATACACAATCTACTCATCGTGATTATTACCTAACAAACATAAGACCTTTTTACAATAAATAGTATGGCATGATTGAAAGAGGATGAGTTTTGAAGTTAAATGGCGTCTCCTATCTGGCTGTGTCATCTACTAACTGTGTAACCTTCAGCACATCACAAATTTAATCTGTAATCCAAAACCTATGGCTCTAATACCCACTTCACTCCTGGGTAGTACTAGATTTCTAAAGAATCACCAAATGTATCAAATTCATCTAGCTTCTATCCACTCAAATTTTTCTTCCAATTTTCATTTCAAATATTACTCTCATCCTAAGTGATTCTCCAATATTTTTTTATTTCAATCAGGCTTGCCTTATAAGATAATTAGGGCCCATCTTCCTCACTAATTTGTAAGCCACTGGTAGAGCCCCCCTGTATTAAGGTTTAGACAATGTTTCTGAAATGTAGTTGGACTTTTTCATCTTTTATTCTGAAGGGGAGCCTTCATGGAAAATTATAATTTCCATGCATTCACCAAAACTTATTACTCCAACAATTTCAGACATTTTTTATATCAGCTCATTTAACTCAAAGTAAAAGAAACAATCTTGTCCTTTTTGTAGCACTTATTTTTAATAATAAGAAGGTAATATGTTGTGAAAATATACAATGCTCATCTTCTTAGAGACCACATATGTGTCTCTCAGAATCAAATTCAGTGGAATGGCACTTCAAATAATACAGAATGATATAGTGATCACTCCTGGATTGTTAATACTGACACTAAGCATTGGATAAGATAGAGAATACCAAACACCTGTTATTCCCATTAATATACAATTTCATTACAGAGAATATTCAAGATGAGAACACCTATTACATGAATGTGCATGTGCAGGCTGGTGTTGCGGCACAGCAGGTTAAGCTGCCTCCTGTGATGTGGTCATCCCATAAAGAAGTGCTAGTTTAAGTCCCGGCTGCTATTCTTTGGAACCAGCTGCCTGTCTGTCAGCCTGGAGAAAGCAGCAGAAGATGGCTCATGTACTTCAGTCTATCCCACTCATGTGGGAGAACTGGATGGAATTCCAGGCTCCTAGCTTCAGCCAGGCCCGGCCCTAACTATTGCAGCCATTGCTGGAGTGAAAGAGTAGATAAAAGGTCTTTTTTGTCCCTTGGTCTCTCATTCTCTCTCTGTCACTCTTTCAAATAGAAAAAATAAATCTTTAAAATAAATAAGTAAACGTACATGCAACACATCTAAATCTTTCTTAGAGGTAATATTCAGTTAGACAATTACTTGAGCTTTTAACCATTTGTATTTTGGTTAAATGTTTTATATGTACAACTTATTTCTAAAGGACTTACAGCATTCGGACATGCCTAGTGAATCAACAAAATCATTATATTACCTTGTTACTTCAACTTTTCTGAAAATCTCAGAACCATATAAGTTTAAGAATTCATAATTTCCCAGGTTTTAGAAAAGTACAAAATGCATATTTTATATAATAAGGGATGCCATCCTGTAAGACATACTAAAAAATTTTTTTTTTTTTATTTTTGACAGGCAGAGTGGACAGTGAGAGAGAGAGACAGAGAGAAAGGTCTTCCTTTAGCCGTTGGTTCACCCTCCAATGGCCGCCGCGGCCTGCGCACTGCAGCCAGCGCACCACGCTGATCCGATGGCAGGAGTCAGGTGCTTCTCCTGGTCTCCCATGGGGTGCAGGGCCCAAGCACCTGGGCCATCCTCCACTGCATTCCCGGGCCACAGCAGAGAGCTGGCCTGGAAGAGGGGCAACCGGGACAGAATCCGGAGCCCCAACCGGGACTAGAACCCAGTGTACCGGCGCCGCAAGGCGGAGGATTAGCCTATTGAGCCACGGCGCTGGCCGACATACTAAAAATTTTTAAAGTATAATTTCAAAAAAATTTAAACATAACCTAACATGTTATTGATTCATTTAATTCCTAGGTAATTACTGAAGAGAAGAGAAATCATACATCCATATAAGACTTGTCCATAAATGTTCAGAGCTTTGTCCATCAACAAGAGAAGAAACTGTGTCCTATAATTAGATTAGAAAACTTTTCAAGCAGTAAGAAAGCACTATGAATAAATGAATCAACACTGATGAATATTAAATATCTTTGAAGTGAAAGAAGCCAAATTTTAAAAAATACACACTGTGATTCCACTTATATATAATTTATATGCAATAGAAAACACATCAAACCACAGTAGCAGAAAGCAGATCAATGGTTTCCTGGGGACTGTAGGAGTGGGGATGGAATAGGCAGGGGACAGTACAAAACAGAGAAAAGGATTATTACAAGGATTTATGCTGAAGTGATAGGTAACTTCCTTATTTTGACTGTATTGATGGCTCATATATGTGTCAAAACTTAACAGGTTATATATTTGAAATGTGTCTTGTTTACTATATGCTAATTTTATCTCAATAAAAATGTTTGAAATTTTTCTGCTTTCACAGATATGTGGAATGGAATCATGAAATAGACTATAGTTCTGATTAACATATGGCTATAAGTACTGGAATACCACTACTGGGTTTCAGTTTCTAGGTCTATCATTCATTAGCATATTACTTTAATTTCCCAGTGTCAGATTATTATTTTTTTTTGACAGGTAGAGTTGCAGACAGTGAGAGAGACAGAGAGAAAGGTCTTCCTTCCGTTGGTTCATTCCCCAAATGGCCACTACGAACAGTGCTACACCGATCTGAAGCCAGGAGCCAGGTGCCACTCACAGAGATATTTCATGTAGGTCATTTTTTTTTCTTTTTTATGCCACGGTGTCTTGGCTTTCCATGCCTGCAAAACACTCATGGGCATTTTAGCCGATCCAAATGCCCTAAGAACTCATTCTGAGGCCAGAATGCTGTTTAGGGCATTCTATGAGTCTGCTGTGTATCCTCTTCCCATGCAGGAACTTTCTCTCTTTTTTAATTCTATCAATTATTATTTGCAGACCCTGGTCTTATTTATGTAATCCCTTTGACACTTATTCCTATCATTACGATCAACTATGAACTGAAACTGATCACATTGACTAGTGAGATAGCATTGGTACATACCACCTTGATGGGATTGAATTGGAATACCCTGGCACCTTTCTAGCTCTACCATTAGGGGTAAGTCCGATTGAACATGTGCTGAACTGTACATTGCCTCCCTCTCTTATTCCCACTCTTATATTTAACAGGGAATTCTTTTCAGCATAGACTTCTTGGAAAAGACCCCAGAGGCACAGGCAGTCTAAGCCAAAATTAACAGTTGGGATCACATCAAATTGAGAAGTTCATGTACTGCAAAAAAAAAAGAAAGTGAAGAGGCAACTGACCGAATGGGAAAAATATTTGCAAATTATGCAACAGATAAAACATTAATAACCAGAATCTACAGAGATCAAGAAACTCCACAACAACCAAACAGACAACCCACTTAAGAGATGGACCAAGGACCTCAATACACATTTCTCAAAAGAGGAAATCCAAATGGCCAACAGACACATGAAAAAATGTTCAGGATCACTAGCAATCAAGGAAATGCAACTCAAAATCAAACTGAGGTTTTACCTCACCCTGGTTAGAATGGCTTACATACAGAAATCTGCCAACAACACATGCTGGCGAGGATGTGGAGAAAAAGGGACACTAACCTAATGTTGGTGGGAAAGCAAACTGGTAAAGCCACTATGGAAGTCAGTTTGGAGATTCCTCAGAAACCTGAATATAACCCTACCATACAACCCAGCCATCCCACTCCTTGGAATTTACCCAAAGGGATTTAAATTGGCAAATAAAAGAGCTGTATGCACCTCAATGTTTATTGCAGCTCAATTCACATTAGCTAAGACCTGGAATTGACCTAAATGCCTGTCAACAGAACACTGGCTAAAGAAATTATGGGATATATACTCTACAGAATACTATACAGCAGTAAAAAAAAATGAAATCCGGTCATTTGCAACAAAATGAAGGAATCTGGAAAACATCATGCTAAGTGAAATAAGCCAGTTCCAAAGGGACAAATATCATGTGTTCTCCCTAATCGGTGACAACTAACTGAGCACCTAAAAGGAAATCCGTTGAAGTGAAATGGACACTATGAAAAACAATGTCTTGATCAGCTCTGGTCTTGATTGTCTAGGAACAAACTATTTTATTCCTTTTAGTATTTTTTGTTTTACTTAATACCACTGGTTGAACTCTAACACACAGTTATTCTTAGTCATTTAAATTTAACTGTAAAGGATCTCCAATTAAACTCACAGCAGACTTATCATCAGAAACCCTGCAGGCCAGAAGAGAATGGTGAGATATAGCCCAAGTCCTAAGAGAAAAAAACAGTCATCCCAGAATATTATATCCTGCAAAGTTCTCATTTGTGAATGAAGGTGAAATAAAGACCTATTGAAACTGAAATATTTTTCACCACCCATCCAGCCCTGCAAAAGATGCTTAAAGATGTGTTGCACACAGAAACACAGAAACATGGACATAAAAAATACGAAAGAAGGTAATGGAAAAATTTCTCTCAGTAAAAGATCAAACGAAGTTCAAAGTATAAATCAGAAATATCTTTGGAAAAATAGCAAAGTCATTACTTATCAATAGTCACATTGAATATAAATGGCCTCAACTCCCCAGTTAAAAGGCACAGATTGGTTGAATGGATTAAAAAACAAAATCCATCTATTTGCTGCTTACAAGAAACACATCTTTCCAACAAAGGTGCATGCAAACTGAAAGTGAAAGGTTGGAAAAAGCTATTCCATGCCAACTTAACTGATCGTAAAGATGGATTTAAGTGTCAAAGTGATCACATAAATAAGACCAAGTGTCTACTAATCATAATTGATAGAATTAAAAAGGAGGGAACAATGCAA